GCTACAGCTCACTACTCAAACGCTCCAATGAGACCATTCGGTAATTTGGTGAATACTGATGGACTATCCAATCACTACACAGGTTGGCAAATCTATTGCAGTATTATAATCTCCGGACTTTATTCTAGAAAAAAAAACGTGACTTTTCGCATTATAACTCTATTTAGACATCTTCTATAGCTACAACGATCGCGTGGGATGCTTTGCAGGAAACACGAACTGCCAGTCGAGGTGAGCCTTCTGCCTGGTTTTCCTATATATTGCAGATATTTGAAAAGGCAGATAGTTTAATTTGAAAAGGCAGATTGCTTACGTTTTTCGAGAAGAACTTAATTCTGTAGACGATTACGTTGCAGCTATTGCCAGGTTCCTCTTCTGTGATTTATCCCACGGTTGGCCGGCATGCGCTTCGAAGATTGTTCTAGGCGGCAACTGCGCAGGGTTTTTCAGAGGTGAGCCATCTTTCGAAGCTCGCGAATTGGTGATTATAACTTGTTCCAAAAAGATCAACGGGCGATTCTCAAGGATATTGTGATAGCAATTTCAATAGGCACTGGCGGGAAAAGCTTGTTTTAATACTTAGAAAGCTCCCAATGGCAGTACCGTCTTGAAGCGAGAGATTAAAGTGTGAGTGCAAGTATAGAAGTACATGCACAGTGGAAGCAGTAGTCATAGGCCTAGGAAAGCGAGATGTGACCTTTTCGTGGCCTAAAGGCGCGCTAGTTCAGCGCTCTGGGGCTGCCATCTTCCCTGTCCTTGTGCTCCGCCCATTTCATGTTCTTATCATTTCGATGAGATATTCCACTTCGATGTGTATCCTATAACTTTTCCCATGGAATGCGTGATCAATCAAAGCATGATCTTGCTGGAATGATAGCGGCTATCGGTTTAACATGTGCAAACGACCTCCTAGTTGGTTGCTAGCTCGTCCATTATCGGAGGTCAACGGGCAAAGAAAGGGTCCCATTTTGCGCGTTCTTGACGGATTTCTTTGCTTTTTTCGCCACTGGGGCATTATTCAGCATCTCCACTTCCACTACCAGCCCAACTTATCGTAATCCCTCGCTTTAAGTACGCATATGGCAACCGAAACCTCTTCCTCAAAGTCTACTTATGAGCGAAAGCAGCCTCATTACGTACTTTAGTAGTTTTCTCAGCTAGGTTGCTAAGTCTGAATCAATCACTTTGGGATGCGCCATGTATACCAGTCATTCAGAGTACAAAAACCTTTGCGCACCTCTACTGGATTACTTGAACCAAGCACTGATTTCACCATTACTGGTAACCGGGACCAAGTCCCAAAGTTACTGTACTTTTAATGAAGCTCGTGTACATGGCGCATGCCAGAAGGATCTATCACAGCTTAGCACCTCAAACATTGCTACAGTATGGAAATAATACGCAATTCCAGGCGAGGATTGCTGCTACAATGGCCGTTGCTTTAACAACGTGTGTGTTTCGACCGGTGCGTGCTCGATTAACGATACTGACTCCTGCAATGTTCGTGTTTTTTGAACTCACTGTTTAGCCTTTTGTTGCAGCTAACATCATTGGAACGAGACCAAGACCAATACCGAGACCGATACCAAGGCCAAGACCAAGAACGATTCCGGGAACGAGAACACGCCCTTTCTTTTTAGCTACAAGCCCTAGGAGGTCGTCCATAATGCGCAAATTCAAGGTGATCCACTCTTTTCCTGACAAATTAGGCAATTTTGGATTTATAATAAAAGGGGAAGAGTCTCAACAACTCAGTCTGTTTGATGGAAGTGGGCGCTTCTCATGCTGGTAGATCTTTGGAGACGATATATGGCTGCGGGGACCACTTCTGTACCGAAAACTACAAAAAGGCGTCGAAAGGAACAGAGGGGTAGAGTACGTATAGGGGCTGGGACTCCGATATTTTACATTTATCCCTGGGAAAGGACTCCTTCCCTTTCCCATCATCACGACCCTCTTCAAAAAACCAAGGTATTTATTATTTCAGAAATGGCGGAAAACGGGCTGTCTTCGTTGCTCTCTCAGTTGGTGGATTACCAACAGGACACGCTGAGCCTTGCTAAACTTATTTCATCACCACAGGCACTATTGCTTCTCGCTCTGGGGGTTCTTCAGCTCAATTATACCTCCAATGCTCGGCTTCCTGGTTCCTGGCTGTACAGGTTGCACAACCCCCTGACTAGTTTGTGAGGCTCTTCCGACTCATCTACTAACCATAAATATTTATTTAATTGAATGGACTGGCATTCATACTTACATCCTTCGTGTTTTCAGGCTGACGTGGATTGCTTCAACGAGAATGAGTGTTGTGGGGTATGGAACGAATTTGGATACTGTAACTCGAATCCAACATACATGACGGCATCATGCAAAGCCTCCTGTGGAGTATGTACGCCCAACTACAATATCAGCGCTGGTAATAATTTTGTATGCTATTTGTGTCCTCAACACCATTGGGTTGTGAAAGCAAGGTGCTGAAGTTTTATCAGAGGCCTCCTTGCTTGATCTCCTTTATGAAGGGTCAAGAGGTGAAGGATCGAAATATAGAAGGTAGGAGATATGCGCTTTGCCAGAAAGAAAAAATAACGTGCCGCACACGAAACATTCGAGACGCCAAAATAAGAGTTTCGACTTTAGGCAGATCAATTTAGCGTAGTAAAATCTAAAGCGAAGAGAGGTGAGCCAAATTGGTATGAAGACCAAGACGGGTGAAGACGAAGGGAGAAAAAAATAGGAAACGTGAAATTATACGCACGCTTATTGTCAATTTTTGGTGATAGGTTCGTGCCGTTTTTACACATCCATAACAGGCTTAGTCATTACCGACCATCCGTTAGACAATAGCCGGGAAGGTAAAGGATCCTTATTCTGATTTTGTAGAGCAGAAACATAAAATAAGCATCGTAGAAATGTCGGTGAGAGGTTGTATAGAGATCGAGGAGATAGAGTTCCTAGGATCCTGGATAATTCCCTCAGATATCAGATATTTGACCAATTCAGTGGTTAAAGGCACAACCCAGGCAGAGGTCGTGTGAACGCTTCTCTTCGGTCTGTAGTATAGACCCCTAGAGGACAATCACAAATGTGGCGTTCCCGTGCACGGAAACCAACCGACAAGAGCGCTTGGGCCTTGCAAAGTAAGCTGCTGAAGCTGCAGATTTTTTTTTCTCTTATCAGGCTGTTGTCTGGCGCTCTCTCATCTGTAGCGCTCTCTCGCCTCATACTCTCCTCTCCGCGCTTAGTCTCTCATTCCCTTAGCACAGCCGATTAGGAAGGTGAGTGAGCCCTTAAAGGCAAACCTCGGGATTGGCCTAACTCGTAGGAGGGATACCACGACGGAAATCGTAAGGTCCGAAGCGTAACCCTAGATTCACTCACAGCTTTCGTCTCTTAAAATTGCGCGGTTAGCGGCGCTAACTTTGTCTCTTTGACCGCCTGTTTCTCGTCCATTCGTATCACTATCTCCGACCTTAGTGAAGGTTAAGGCTCGAGTTTAAGGCCAAGCATATTCGGCTTCTCCTGCTTTCTTTTCCACTTTGCTAACCACGAGGTGTTAATAGCAACCAGTTTAGCCTGGGCTTGATTCCAACCTGAGCCTTTTTCGAAGGAATTTCTTTCCTTTTCTTGTTTACTGCCGGCCGCCATATTTCGCACCAATACATTCGCATTCGTGTCCAAGAGCCACACCAATGAGAGGCTTCTGGGGCATGCCTTTAATCCTGGCTCCAAATTACAAAAGCGGTTCAGTCTCGCGGTTATTGATCATAAGTATTCCTTCCTAGAGAGCGAATCATGTGTTTGCTCGGGAATCACGTCACACCTATAAATTTCTAGGTCATTTCAGAGTGTAGTGATCGGTCATCC